CTGTCGAAGAATCGTTTGGCGAGAAGCGCACCACCGCCGATAGCTCCTAGTTTGAGAAGTTTGCTCCCCCAGCCACCACGACGTGACTCCTCATCGGAGTACTTGTCTTCTGAATGAGATATTTGAGAGTCTCCGTGACGTTCTTTTGGACGTGAACGGCGTCGAAAAAGCTCAGCTAGACCCGCTCCAGCAGCACCTGCCGCGGCCATGCGGCCGAAGCTGCTATGACGCCGATCTTCGACGCCTGAAGGTCCTGAAACATAGCTATGCCGAGCGTCATATTCACTTCCTGTGGGGTATCCTTGGGAATCGTACAGGTACGAGAGAACGAAGAATGTTGCCAGAAGTGCGAAAGCAGCTATTGAGTATAGTATGAACAAGGATTTTGGGGAGCCGTAGAGGGTGAGTCCCAGGGGAATCTGCACTAGACCTAAGATCGCAAGAGCACGACCAAGCCATCGATGGATCTACGGGCAAATTAGTTGAATGGTGCCGAGGTATGAAAAGACAATGGCTTTGTTCGCCGCAACTCACAACTAGCTTCAGCGGAACATGGTATCTTTTCCGCTTACTCTCGATCTTGTGCACGAGATACCCCCATAATACTTGGAAAACAACAATGACGTAGATCGCCAGCCCTATTCCATGATGAGGGTTGGTAAGACTTCTCTCAGGCCCGACGGCAAACCACCCGAGGACAAAGACGACAGTGCTCAATAAGAGTGTCAGAACCTGGAACCAGACATGTAGCTTGAAAGCCCAGAATGGGTTCCATCGCGAATAATATCGTATGATCAGGACCGATATGGGCACCAACCCGAGGAACACGATTGTTGCAATGACACCATGAGCGATTATCAATGTGCGGTACTGTGGCATATCGCGGAACCGGTTCCCCATGCCTGGAATGTATGTCAGAAAAGCTTGACATTCACACAAAGTATGCGACTCCACCACCCACCGTTGTATTGCATAGTCGCAAAGTTCACACCCATTAAGTTGGGTAGAAGAAACGTATCGCGGCCCGAGTCCCATGTTCCATCTCCGACATGCAATGTATTGGAGGCATACGTGCTGCTCCCGGGAGCTGTGAGGTCTGAATTTGACGACATGGCTTCCCTGCGCACCAGAGTTCAGTTGATCCGGCACTCGCGACAGCGACCTTCGAGACAAGGGAATGTCGGAAAAACTGAAGGAGATCTATTTAGATCCCCCACTCCGAAGAATGCACCATGCGCTTAAAGAAGACCAAATAGAAGCTTGATGGACAATCGGCTGTGCCTATCAATCAGCTCATCAGATCCAGACGATGGAGGACTTTTGAGTTTCGCAAGGTATCGTGGATGGGATATTTACTTCTGTATACTCGTGAGGCTGGCGGTGAGGAGGATCAAAGCGGGGATAAGACGATAGAATGAAAAGGCTGGAAAGAGTATCAAATATGAAGTCAGACAAAACAGAGATAAAGCGTCTTACCAGAACCAGCTTGGATGAAGCAATACCGACAACAATAGTCAGCCGCTGGAAGGGAGCAGATGGCTGGTGCTGGGGCAGCTGAAGGAGTGAGCGCCCGATCAGCCCGCGTCACAACTGTTTGCCGTTTTGGGTTTAGCGTACCAGCTCATATCCCAAGCAACCAGCCGCTGACTCAGCAATTCCTCTCCTCGTTACACCGCCTTCTGGTTATGGACTCATCGTGTGCCTCAGCCTATCTTATCAGCTGGACCCCATGGGTTCTCAGTCCTCTGATCCTCATTGTCCTTTGATCTCTTCAACTATTCAAGTCATTCTATTTCATCCTTTCTATGATTCGTTTTAAGGCAAGACTAAGGTAACTATAGAGATATGTCTTCTCAGCTTGAGATCTTCGTGAGGGCTCTCTCGCGGTGAGTATCGATTATCTCCGATACCCACAGACACATGTGTATTGATAAGCCCTTCATAGCCTGTTAGGATGGATATAGTATGTGACCGTGTTCCTCGAAGTCAAGCTGGGGCAGACAAAACTCCTAGAGGCTTCTTTCTCCGAATGACCGTCCGGTTGCTGACCTGAAGACCAAGTATGTTTTGCTGGTCCGCATCCTTTTATCCCCAGCCGATCAGTAACTTTCGGCGGCGTTCAACAGTCGGGTTGGCCATTGACTTTCCCACTATCAACGTTCTGGGCTTTGTCTGCTACACAGCATATACATCTGCCTTTCTTTATTCTCCTGTGATCCAGCGCCAATACGCAGCCCGTCACCCTTTGGCTGAGGAGTCGACAGTGCGCTTCAATGACTTTGCCTTTGCCCTGCATGCTGTCATCCTCAGCACTATTGTTTACACCCAATTCTGGCCAAAGCTCTGGGGCTTCAAGGTCTCCCGCTTCCAGACCGTTAGTAAACCGGTTCTTGGCCTCTTCTGGGGCTCCATTGTGGCAATAGGTATAGTAGTTTGCATTGTTTTGGCCAAGAGCCCTGACGGAGGATATGAGCCATCCACCTGGGCATGGATCGATGTGGTAAGTCATTTGGGGACTTGGAAACCCTTATTGAATGTTTTAAATCAATTCTAAACCTTCATCGTCTAGATTTACGCACTCTCCTATGTGAAGTTGGTCATCACCATTGTGAAATATGTCCCTCAAGCATGGGTCAATTATAAAAGAAAGTCCACACAGGGGTGGAGTATCACCCAGATACTTTTCGACTTGACCGGTGGTGTCCTTTCCCTTCTTCAACTAGTTTTGGATTCTTCGTTTCAGAGCGATTGGAGTGGTATTACTGGAAACCCCGTGAAATTGTTACTGTCAAATGTGACCATCCTATTTGATTTGGTCTTTGTTGTGCAGCACTACATCCTTTACAGAGACTCCCTGGAAGGCAAAATCAATCGCCATCCGGACCTCGTCACTCCCCTATTGTCGGACCCTAGAGCTGTTAGCGTTTGACCTCTTTTCTACTTGGTAATAAACATACATATTATGCTCCCTTAGAAAATAGTCCAACCATACGTACTTCCTCCTTTTGAACCTGCTTGGACTCCTCTGCACTTCACATGCAGCCATGTTTCGCACCTCAAGAGGCCGCGAACATATGTAGGTTGCCTTCTGGCCAGCGCAAGCCATAGAATTCCACGAGAAGCGGCGATCAGTGGGAAGCTGTTAAGACTCCCTAAGTTGCCAAACCCAGCTCAGCGGGACGGGGAGGAGGAAAAAGTCACCTCGCTTGTATTCTCTGACAATCGAATTTTTAGTTGCCCTAGGGAGGCCAAGACAACAGTGAACCGTCTAGCATAACAAAATGACAAGCATTCTGAAGGCTTGTTGATACATCATGAACCATGTTCTGCTGACACCGCTCTTTTTACAGCCACCCGGGGGCCTTTCCGGGGCCGTCCCGTGTTTCCATTTTTATCCATTTTTTGCACAACGACCCTCTCAGGAGGATAATGCACTGAAACATAACACAATGAGGTTGCATTAGGATCTGCAGTCGCTTGATGAAACCGTCACAGCAAATATGGCAGTTATCTGGAGTTGAGACCTCTCGGCCCTACCAGGAACCGAGAGGATGTAAGACCAGGTAAGCATATCCAGGCCAGTCACCAAGGTGCGGGGGCCTGATTAAGGCGCAATGCCATGCATGCTTTAGCTCATGCAAGTCCTTTGACAGTGCGAAAACAGCATATTCTCTTCATTTCTCCCCATTTGTTCTGTTATTGTTTTCATCATTCCCCCCTGCACTGAACCCTTGATTGGGAAAGGGCCGAAGCTGAGGCTCTAAGCCTCTCTGGCTGATCGGCCTGGGTCTATCTACCAGGCAAACAGGCGAATCAACGAGATGTGCTTGCCCTTTTGTGGAAACCGATGTCCTTTGTCAGTGAAAAGGGCCAATTGTCTGGCACATCACATGTGACTAATTATAACTCTCCAACAGCTCAACCAGGTAAAGCCTTCCTCGACAGCTAAGACAACTGCCATGCCACTTTGCTGATTGCACAGCGTCTCCCACACATCAGCCCTATCAGACATCCAATGATGATGTCTGATTGCCGAACCACTCTGACTCCTTCATGCTCAATGCCAGGAGTCCGTGTCGTCCACCGCGGATCTTCTCCTGCCGTCGTGCGAATGAGAAGGCAGAGTGGCAGACTGACGAGCGCTAAGACTTGAACCCCGGTTTTCGGGACGATAAATCTGCTGCTATTGGCTCTCGTGCGTTGACTCGTATACATCTAACTATATGCAGCCAAGTGCCACAAAAGCCTAGGTTCGGCAGCCACAGAAGGTACCAGCGACGAACGACTGGTCTGGAGGTATCTTTGTCTCAGTACAGCATCATACCAACAGATTCCTCCCACAGTCACTGGTTCATTATGTCGATCTCCGAGCAGAAACTCCGGGGCTATCTGCAGCTTTCTTCTGAGTCTACCTGGCTTCTTCACATAGTTTCAACGTGCTGTGTACGAAGGAAAGATGATATGAGGAGACCGCCCAGAAATAGGTATAATGGCACACCGACAACCAATGGTATCGACTCTGATGACATCAACCAACTCTATGCAGGTTTAAGAGTCGTCCATGGACATTGTGAAGAGTCGACGGCTTTCTAATTCAGTCAACTCTGTCAGCGTGCAGAAGCATGGCATAGCCACGTCTGACGTTGAGCAATGTCATTCGGCTCTATCTGAAGAAGCATTTCTGGGTATATCTTTAGTCAAGGAAAAAAAAAGAAAAGAAAGTAAGATCTCATTTCGACTCGACTCGCCTTTACAAAGACAGGACGGAAACGTTCCGCTTTGGGGAAGTGAACATGTTGGATCGCATCACCAGGAACTATTTAACTGGAAGGACTCATGATCAACCTTTGCATGGAACAAGACGAGAAACTCAAAAAGCTCGACATCGACCTCGATCCTGTGGTCTTCTTGAAACAGAGCCAGGATCAACTACAGCAATTCATACAGTGACTCGTGGTAGCATGCCTTTATCCACACGAAACCACCACACCGTCTTCGCCATGTCTTCACACCAGTATACCTACCCGGGCATGCACGATGTCCCCGAGACCTACCCATACCACATGGGCCAAGCAGTCAGCGAGGAAGACATGGACAGCTTCTACCTGGCCAGTCTCCCCGCGTCCTCATACGCAGGCCTCAACTTCGACCCAGCCATGCCAGCAAGCCAAGCTTACGACAACACCACGCTCGCACACATGAGCGGATCCTACCTCCCCTACGGCGATCAATGGATTTCCCAAGTTCCCCCAACAGCAGAAACAGCAACATACCACCCCTCCCACGTCTACCCAGCCTCAACAATCCCATACGCCCCGCAAAGAACAACCTCCACTCACCTCAGCCCACAAAACTACCTCTACACCGACCCTTCAAGCTCCCACCTCGACCCGACACCGCCCTCCCCAGACCTCGACCCCGCGCAGCACACCAAGGACCTAAACAACTACGGCATCCCCAACGCCGACGGCTCCTGGCGCTGCGCCTACCCAGGCTGCACCTCGGCCGCGACGTTCCACCGCGGCTGCGACCTCCGGAAGCACTTCAACCGGCACCGGAAGCATCTGTTCTGTCGGCACGATGGCTGTCCGCAGGCTGTTGCGGGCGGGTTCTCGAGCAAGAAGGACCGGGCCCGGCACGAGGCGAAGCATAACCCCGGTGTTGTGTGTGAGTGGCCGGATTGTGGGAGGGTGTTTAGCCGGGTAGATAACATGAAGGACCATGTGAGGCGGATTCACAAGAGGGGGGAGGTTGACTCTTGACCCTTGACTGATTCTCTAGATGTGTATGCATTTACGGCGTGGAATAAATAGGGTTTAGGTTGGTATTAGCGGCGGATGTCATTGCGCGGGAGTCTCGACTTTTTGTTGTCGTTGTTGTTGCTGCTGTTGTATGCGATAGACCATCTTGTGTTCTTTGATTTGTTCGAATTTTGATTCAAGTGGTGTTGCTGTCATCGTATCTTCTGCATATACATGTAGATCAAAATGAAGATGAAAAGGCTCGATTCCATTCGATTCCGGTCCAAGATCAATCAAGACGCCAGAGCTTCCAAAAGAAGAACAGTGTATGTAACGGGGCTAATGCGCAGCTCAGACAATAGAAAGAACACTCAACGCCGGCAATCGCAATCACAAGGCAAGTCAAGTCTCGGACACCGCGGCTGTACCCTATAGCGATGGGGAGGATATATGCTAATACAAAACGAACGGCAGCATACAACGAACGCGAACGCAGAACCAACAATGGACGAATCGTAATTCTAAGAATATGGTATCATGTACGGTACGACAAACAGGAACACGGGAAGGGAATTCGTCAATGCATATGCAGGTTACACGAATGGGCGGTCGGTCCTGGGTGGTGATGCCAACGAGCGAAGTGTTTCGACTCTCGGCATACAGAAGGCGGAGTGACTTGTGAAGAATAATGCAAAGCACAAGCTACTGAGCAGTGGTTCGGCGTCGTCGGCCTCGAGTGCTGCCCTCGGGTCTTTGAGATAGCACTCGTCTGAGCTCGGGGTCATCCTTGCTCTTATCGACGTGGTGGACTCGCACGTGTCTAGACTCTGTCAGAAAACCTGACGGGCGGCCAAGAACAGCATGGATCTCACCTTTGAAGGTTATCAGGCCGGGGGTATTTATGTTGTTGATCCGGACAGAAAGGGCATACGTATCCCGGCGAATTATGGACAAGGCCATGCCGAATCATCTCATTCTTGCGTTTGAATCCCTTGCCGCCAACTCCTCGAGGACATCCTTCGATGGGACAAAAGTGTGGTCGGTCTTGTGAATGGACATTTGCATGAGAGCTGCGAAATTAGATGAGCCTGTCTTTGTCAACGCAAAAGTGGTCTAGTGTTGACTTACTTCAGCAAATATTGAGTTTGAAAAGGCGCAGCAGTACACCCCGGATACCTGCATTTAAATGTACCCGTGGGAACCGGTGCAGTGGGCGGCGGCCCCGGATTGAAAGGCGGCCGTTCGCCCGTCGGGGTTTGATCGGTGGGGGTGGGATAGCTGGTTGCCGGACTCTTGACTGCCGATGGCGAAGGTTCGTAATTCGGCGTTGTAAGATAAGTGATGTCGGATCGTGTATGCCTCCACTGGGGTTGCTGCTGCGATGCTGGAGAGGACACGGCCGACATGCCCTTGGAGCTCGCAGGAGAAAGATGTGAGTAAGGACTAGGGGGGACCTGCGGCGGAACAAACTGCCCCGAGCGTTGATGATCCCACGCCGGTTCATTCCTTGGTATGGATGGAGGGGATGTAGAGACTGGAGGAAGAGAGTAAGGCCCTGAAATCTCAGCTAAAGCAGTCTGTATCGAAGGCAAGCTATGCTGTTGGTGGTTCTCCGGTGATTTGGCGATTGCTAATGGAGGAGATGTCTGGAGTGCTGGAAGCAAGGCTTGGACCGGTCCCTCTGAGGGTGATATTGCAAATTTTTTCAAGGGCGAAACAACAGGAGACTTGCGTTCGGCGGTAAAACTTGGGGGCGCCGGCGGATGTGAATCCTTCGGAGATGATACTTCGACTTTGATGTTGATTGGCTCGGCCTGTGTTATAGGTGGTTCCAACAAGTCCTTGATCGATTGGGGCGGAGATGCGCTCTTGAGAGCCGGAGGTGATATCAAGTTTTCGGGTGGTGGTAACACTTCAGGGGCAGACGACAAGAGTTGAAGAGCTCTCTCCGCCACTGACGAGGCCGGTTCCTGGAATTTGACATCTTCCCCGCCTCGAGGGTCAATTTTCGTTTTCTGCAGATTTGATTGATCCTCTCCCCAGGGATCCCGAAGGCGCGGATGTTCTAACTCGTAATTGGCAATATCCGGGCGATTCGGTTCTAGATGAGAGATCAGTACCGAGTCGCCCTCAGTTGTTTCGGGCTTAGATGTCGGCGACGGCTTACGGGGAAAGTCCGAAGACGTTCCCTCATCTCCAGGGTATTTAGCAGTAGCATCAGTTTTAGTCGAATCTTGGGTTAGAAACGGGGGCAGCTGCTCGTCGGGCTGGTAATTGGGTTTCTGAACCTCTAGCCCGGGAGTGAGCCGGTCGTCATCTGGGTCGTATGCGTCGGTCATGGAGGCGGGCTTTGAGGGGGCATTAGGAAGCCCCGTTCTGGTAGTTTACTCGTCTATGGGTACCTTTGCCTCCAATCTACCTCCCTGTGCCCGGTCTGGGGTGAAAGGTCGATTCCAAGCTCACTAGCCCGCAACTAAGGGGAGGAGGTGAAGAGAGAATCAAAGCACATAAGATAACAGTGCTTCTTCAGAAAGAATATCTATTGACATCATTAGTACATGTGATTGACAGGAAACGGAAAATCTGTTGAACAACAACTTATAGAAGATTGATCGGGTCGCCAATCCACCTGTTCGCTGAGAGCCAGTACACAATTTCTGGGAAGGAAAATCCCGTAGTTGACCATCGTCCATCCAAGAATCTGATCAAGAACAGAACTGATCTTGACTTTTTTTTGCATGAGGACGACCGGTGACTAACCAGAGAGAAGAAAGGTGCAATTTGCGATATGGAGCAGTTTATTGGTGGTGGCTCCAAACCAAGTTCCATTTCCCCAAAAGGGTAGAATGCAGCAGAAACTGAAACAATTTAAGATAGGCTCACCTTTAGGAATTGGAAAGAGCTCGTGGCTTGAAGCCTAGCGGTAATTCCAGATGGGACCGATGATGTTTGCAGGAGCCGGTCACCTGCAGTGAGGCTCAGAAGAAGGCCGAATCGGACGGTCAATGGCGGAGATCGAATTGATATACCAGGTGCATCGGTAGGCTGAGGGTTACCAGGGCCAAAAACCGAAGCTCTGGACGAATGAAACGCACAGGATAATGATGACAGTGCTGCGAGGTTGGTGGAGGGAGGAGACAACAAAGAATCCCACAGGGCGCAAAAGTCCAGAATTAGAGAAAAGCGGAGTCGCCAATGGTAGTAATAGTGGGGAGTGTTATTATAACGGCTGTGGACTTGTGGACATGTGGTGGTGACGACGCTGCAGTAGTGGGTTCGTCGCAATAAGAAGAATAGCTGTGGTAGCAGTAGAGGTACTTCGTGGGTTGGTGTATCCGCGGAGCAAAGCAAAGTAGAAGTAAAGATGCAGGTCGGAAAGAGTAGAGGTAATAAGAGTGACAATTATAACAACAATGGCAACAGTAGTCAAGTCCTGCGTGGCCAGAGGATGAATGATCAAATGAGAAATACTGATGATAATAAATGATCAACAATAAGAATAATTATCAAGACTATGACCTTCCAGACGATGAGGCTACTGCCTTGGAGCTAGTTAGCCTGAGCGGGAAGAGGTGACGCTGGCTTGGCGGACGGTTGAAAAAGGTTTAGAGTGAGGAATAATGGAGGAGAAAAGAGCAGAGAGAGAGAGAGAAGTTTAAGCGGTCAAAGGTAGATCCATGGACAGGGAATGGTTCCACAGACACTGATAGATAGATGAGGAGATAGATGAAGATGAGGATGAGGATGATAATGAGGATAATTGTGATGGTGATGAAGACAAGACGAAGGATTGGAGGGAGTTTCGTTGTTCAGCAGATTGTCGCGAGGAGTTTCAACCCCGAATCATTGGGTAGAATTTGCCCAAATTTCACTCTCTCGAATTTTAGTAAAAACTTGTCAGGCTTCCGATAACTATCCGATGGAGAAGGCGAAGATGGGAGAGAAGATCATTCTCGAGAAGGGAAAAGAAAAGAAAAAGGTCGCTGTCCTGAGACTCACAGAGTGCTAGGTTGATTGTCTCCAGACGCGCCACAGACGGGCAAAGCAAAGTGGGGTGTGAGGCAGAGGACGGAATACAGTACGACTATTCCTTTACGGCGCAGGTATGGAATCCAATCTAGATGAATTAGTAGGGAGGGACGGAGGTAGCGCTTGTCCACTGTCCAGTAATCTATGGAGTCCCAGTAGTCTTGGTATTAATGATTGACATTGAACTCATCCATAATACCGCCTGATATTATTGGGAAAACAATGCTAACCGACCAGCAGCTACAGTAGCGGTATATCTATACTTTACTTCCTTGTAAACGGGAATTGACCGAGACCTCACTTGTCCAAGTTGAGTCTGCTTTCATCACCTTTTATCTCACAATTGCAGCGTTTTTATCTCAAGATTCTCAAGGAGTTGACCTCTGGACCTAGGCAGCTCTATTTCACCTAGTAGCACCGGGTCCTAACGACCACGAGCCTCTTCCGGGCCAGCCGCACCATCCAACCAAACAACCTCCACGTTCGGGCCATTTGAGGCTCTCTGCAGAATCACGGTGTATGATTGGACGGCTGACGAGGGCAAAAGAGGAGGCTGAACTTGCCCATCTGCACCGAACCGACGTAGAAACTCTATGAATCAAGATGGCGATTTTAATTGTGGGTGAATGGATCTCTTGACTAGGGAATATTTCGTATATGGTATGGCGACCTGATCTTTGCCTTGATCTGATCAGTCTTGTGATGTGCATGGACATGGCTCCATGACGAACCAGGACCGTCTAAAGAGGCTCAAACTCTCCAAACTCTCCAAACTCTGAACTGGGCCTCGGAGATCAGCCTGCCCCAATCTGCCCTCTTTCCCCTCATCGGTACGACTACATACGTGCTCGTACAGGAGCGAAGGATTCTAGGGTGATTCTTGACTCTGGATTATTAGTACCTAAGGCGACAAGGCTGTAAGCCTCGACTAGATTAGTCTTCATGCCTAAGGCTCGTTTCTTACATTTTATCCCTGACCGTAGATTCCGATT